TGTCAGTCATCGTTTCAGTCTACATATAAGTCATCCAGTTATCAATCTACTTGTCAGTCATCAACTTTTCAGTCTACATGTAAGTCATCCAGTTCCCAGTCAACTAATTAGTCATCAAGGTTTCAGTCTACATGTCATCCAGTTATCAATCTACTTGTCAGTCATCAATGTTTCGGTCTACATGTAAGTCATCCAGTTCCCAGTCAACTAATCAGTCATCAGTCTACATGTAAGTCATCAATGTTTCAGTCTATATGTAAGTCATCCAGTTCCCAGTCAACTTATCAGTCATCAACGTTTCAGTCTACATATAAGTCATCCATTTACCAATCTACTTGTCAGTCATCAACGTTTCAGTCTACATGTAAGTCATCCAGTTCTCCATCTACTTGTCAGTCATCAATGTTTCAGTCTACATATAAGTCATCCAGTTCCCAGTCAACTTATCAGTCAACGTTTCAGTCTACATGTAAGTCATCTAGTTCCCAGTCAACGTTTCAGTCTACATGTAAGTCATCCAGTTCCCAGTCATCGTTTCAGTCTACATGTAAGTCATCAGTAGTCTCCAGTCAACTTATCAGTCATCAACGTTTCAGTCTACATATAAGTCATCCATCCAATCTACTTGTCAGTCATCAACGTTCAGTCTACATGTAAGTCAGTCAGTCATCAACTTTTCAGTCAACATATAAGTCATCCAGTTCCAGTCACAGTCATCAACTTTTCAGTCTACATATAAGTCATCCAGTTGTCAGTCATCAGTCACATCCAGTTCCCAGTCAACTTATCAGTCAAGTCTACCAAGTTCAGTCAACTAATCAGTCATCACGTGTAAGTCATCCAGTTCCCAGTCAACTTATCAGTCAACGTTTCAGTCTACATGGGTCATCCAGTCCTCAATCTACTTGTCAGTCATCTAGTAATCAGTATCCTACTACACAGTCTTTCTGTTATTAATTCCCAGTCTATTTGTCAGTCATCCAGCTCCTAATAAGAATACTGCTTGTCATTCATTTGCTCTTTGTCAGCTTTCCATTCATCAACTTTTCAGTCCCATCAAAATTCTAGTCATTTTGTCAACTATCTACTTTCTAGTCTGTTCAGTCAATTTATTATCGTCTTTACAGTCTACTTTTCAGTAATTTACTTCCAAGTTCACTAATTAAGTCACCTATTTTTTTCTGTCTACTATTTCAGTCTATTTGTCAGTCATCTATTTCCTGGACATTTAGTATTTCCAGTATACTTGTTATCTACTTACACTGTGTTAGTTATCTACTTCCCAGTCTACTCGTCATTTATCAACTTCCCAGTCTATTCCCCAGTCATCTAATTCCCAGTTTACTTGTCAGTCATCTACTGCCCAGTCAACTGTAGATGACTGACCATTTTTCAGGTAATTATCTACTTGTCAATCTACATTCCCGTCTAGTCAACCAACTGTATATTTTTTCGGGAGTCTACTCTTCAGTGTATATGGTAATATATTATCTATTCGATAGTCCATTATCGAATAGTTCGTGAAGTTTAGTCCACCTTCTAAGAGTCTGTTATCTGCATTCTGGCTTATCACCTTATCAGGAAGTAATTTGCCAGTCATCTTGTCAGTGTATTATATAACAGCGTTGACTGTCTCGGATGTATTTTTTTTATATTATGACTTTTTAGTTCAGTCATCCACGTCTTGGCTAATAGTCTGTCTTTCAGTACATCATCTATTGGTCTTCTTTTTAGTCCACCATCTTCTGGTCGGTTGTCTTTTTCAGTTAACTGCCAGCTTGTCAGTCCATGCGGTGTTTGTCAGTCATCTACATTTTAGTCTATCATGTAGGCCTACTTGACAGTCTATATCACGTATAACCATTCAGCGTTTCATCTACTTGTCAGTCAGTGATGTATCTGTCAGTCATCTACTTTTCAGTTTATCATAGGTTCGTCAGTCTACAGGCATACATATGTAATCGTTCTACATGTTACGGCTACATAGTCATTAGTGGGCAAAAAATTCATCAGTTGTTTGCTGACTTCTATGTTTTTTTTATTCCTCTTGTAGGTTCCGTAAATTTTAAGTCGACGCATGTTTATCAGTAGATGTGGTATCAGCTGTTAATTTCTAATTCTTTAATTCTGTTATCTTCTGTCTACCGGTAGTCGGACCTCATACTATTAACTCTAATGTCTCTTTTAAGTGTTTTTTTTTTACATCTTTTTTCTTTTTACTGTAATATGCACACTCTGTCGTTATGTGCATTATAACTTTTTTCACAGTAACTTTTTTTTTCTCTCATTTTACCCGCTATATTCCTCTTTATTCACAGACCAGTTCGCTACCCTGAGCATTTGTCTGTCAGGCGCATTCCCTCCAACAGCTGTGTTCTGCTGTGCCAAAGGCCCCATCCTTCCTCCTTCTCTTTCGTCAACTTTCTCCTCTATCCAATTCCCGTTCGTTCACCCCTTCCTTGTGGATTTACGATCATATACCTGGCTCCCTTGACTTTCCTTTAGCAATTATTGTCGCTCTCTAAAGTTTCCTTCCCCCCCCCCCCCCTGTAACTTATCTTCCCTTCGGTTATCACTATTTTCTCTTTTTCTACGACTTTCTTCCATCGTTTTCCCACCTCGTCCATTGCTATTGGAGTTCGTCAAATATTTTACCCTCATTTAGCTTTCACTTTGCCATAAATTTCCCACTCGGCAGTCACCTCTGTTCAGCCAAGGAAGACTCAGTCAACACTTTCTCCGATCAGTCAGATGTGCCGTCAGTAGAATATCTCGGAATAGTCATCACGTCTACTTTCTCTCACTTACTATTTTATCCTTCGACTTTCTTTTATCTCTATATACGCTATAGCAGTTAGTTCCGTGAGAAATATATTAGGTAGTCTGGAATTAAACTTTTTCTTAACTGTTCCTCAGGCAATATCTTTGGCTAATTAGCTATCCCCCTGTATCTAATACTCTGCTCTACCAGTCCGTAGTGTTTTTTTGTGTATTTTCGCTGTATATATCTTACTTCCTTCTTTCTTGTCGCATTTTCCCCCTTTTTGTTTTCGTGAACGAGGAAAACTTTGCATGTTGCCAATTTTCCTTGCGAATCACTTTCTCTTGACCGCCATCTCCCCCTAGCAGTTTGGTTTTCCCCTGTCTGTCATTTTCCCCCCGTCGGTCACTTTCTACGGCCAGTCCCTTGCCACAAGTCACTCTACATCCTGCGTATGACTTTTAGCCACTTATTACTTCACGTAATTCGCCTGCCAAACCTATATTTTTTTGTCGTTGAACAAAATAAAATCGTTTATATAACCAGACGCTCTTCGATTCCCTTCACTTGTCTCGAATATCATTTTCGTTTTTTTTTAACTTTTATTGTCAACCCGAGGAGAATTTAACATGATGGCGTCTCTCGTACCTCATCTCTTTTTTTTTAATAAAGTCATCTCAACCTCATCTTCCTCCCAACGCTTAAAAGACAGACAGATGGAGACTTTCTAAAACTCTAGCAGCGCTTGCGTGACTCAGCACATCCTTTTGCATACATTATCTAAAAATCTTCATCATGGTGGCTTCTGTTTTGGATAAGGGGGCCAAGGGAGGTGGGAAAACATTATGCTTCTCTGTTCACATTAATTAATGAGTCAATTGATTGCTTGTTTGATTGTGCATCAGTAGCCGAGACGTGAAGCATCAGGTTAAGTCAACGGTTTGTGAGCGACTGCGAGGAGAATATAAGTGAAAGTGGGAATACACGTGGGAATACGATAATTATCTGGAGTGAGCGAATAAAATGAGACCGTCTTCCGGTCTTGCAACGCCAACACAAAATGCATATACTACACATATGAATATATACGAACAAGTACAAACACACACAGACATAAATACACGCACACAGAAAACGCACATTAACACACAGACGCACTACACACATTTACACATCCCAACAACGGCGAAACCACTTCAGTTCCTTATGACCACAGGCAATCAACCTGTCTAACCGGGAGAACTTCTAGAACATTCACCGCCACTAAGAAAAAAAAACGAACAAAACATAATTTTTCTTCTATGCAATCCTTGAAAAAAAAAACTTGCGTCTTATTTATATATATTTTTTGACTATCCTTATCTTCTGCTATGACTGAATTCCATCTCGCGTTTTGTTCAACGAATCGAATGTAGAGAGAAAAGGCAAAACCAGTCAGGTAGAGAAAAAATGACAAGAAAAGAAGAAAAATAAAAAGATGGAAGGAAGAAGGCGAAGAGAAAGACAGAGAAAACGCAAAGGCTTAGGGAAAAGGAAATGAAAGGGAGATGGAGACGGGGAGGGGAGGAGGAGGAGGAGAAGGGAGGGCGGTACACCGTAGGGAAAGTCTCCCCGAGGGAACGTGAGCTCAGTGGCTTAAGTCATGGCGAGTCATGCAGTTACTACGGTCCTCTCTGTCCCTCTGTCACTGGTCGAGAAAGTGGCCCGAACAGCTTGGCAGTGAGCGACATCATCTCCCGACGTCATAAATCGGCAAATCACCGTAACTCGAAGCGGTCTCGCCCCGACCACCGCGAGGACCGGCCAGCTGCACCGTTACAGCAGAACTTCCGTCACCGAGAGAAGGAAAATACTAAAAAAAAATGTTGATGGCAGTTCATGGGTTTTTTAGAAAAATAAATATCAATTTGTAACATGAAATGGTATGAGAAGATTGGGCGTGACTTGGTTATCAGGGAAAATATACTTGCGACGTGAAAGAGTGATATAGACTATGAGGTAAATAGACGGAGGAAGAGATAACTGAAGGAAGAGAGAGAAAGAGAGAGATGGAGGGAGAGAGGGAGATGCAGTTACACGGATGATTAGAGAGATAGAAAGACAGACAGAAAGAGAGAGAGAGAGAGAAATCAAGACCAACAAACAACCGAAGACTCAAAAAAAAATAAAAAACAACAACAACAACTCGGGAACTACAAGACAGAGAAGCCGAGAAAGCGAGAACGGAGAGAGAACTCAC